CAGAACTGACTTGACGGCACCTAACAACAAAAAATATATGCTAGGCACCATTCTGGGAGCTCTGGTAGCATAGTAGCTAAGGCACTTGACTGCTAACCAGAAAGCTGGTGATTCAAACCCACCAGCCACTCCTCAGAAGGAAGATGGGGCAATTGACTTCCAGAGTGATACTGCCTCGGAAACTCAAGGAGGGATCGCTATGAGTTGGGGCCGACTCGATGGCACACAACAACAACAACAACAAGCACTATTCTAGTACAAGAAAGAAGCCAGAACTTTTTGCCTGTAAGACAATTAGAACCCGAGCGTGGGCTTCTATTTTAAACCTCTCAGCATTTTATTTATGGAAATTTCCAAATGAGTCACTTGTTTGTTTATTCCTGTTTAGGAAAGAATCACTTGCCTGATGTTTGGAAGTGAGTGGAAGTATGGCAATGAATGGCAGTGGTAAAGCACAATGCACTGATTCTATTCCCGTAAATGTACATTTATGGGTCTAGGTATGAAGCCCCTAACTCCACCTTGTGCCTATTTCTCAGTTTCATAGTCACTTTCTTAACTTAAAGAGCTGGCAAAGGAGCAAATAGTTAATGAAGACAATCACAAAGTAATTTTTCCAATAAATACTTTAATGAGAACTGAGGTCTGTAACATTCACAGCTTAACTGCTCTGGCCTATGCCTTCTGCTCTAACCCACATCTGGGGCTACCAACTACATTTAACCCACATTTGAAAGACAACCATCCTGAAAATTATCCATCAGTGTCCATCTTCATAGAAGATACCAGTCTGGGGCCAGAGTCTCAACGTTAACACTTCCTTCTGGGAAAAGTTAACATGGTAACACAAACACATAAACATTAGCGAACCACTGTATTGTTCTTCAATCAGGAAGCCCTTGGGGGGCCACAGGTTTAGCAAACACTTGAAACATTTTCAAAATACATTAGAACACAGGAAAAAAGGGGGCAGGGAGTACAAAGATTGGCGGGCCTGGGCTCACACGTGATTCACTCCTTAGATTTGAAGCCTCTTGAGCTGCTCATACGTAATAAAAAACTGAGGAGGAAGTCATGGAAGATCACTGGATTGATATCAAAAGACAAACCCAGTTCTAAAATCATATACTGCATTCTCTTAAATAGGTATTTAGTCTGGGCTATTCTGTGCTCGTTTAAAAGTCTTTTTTAAAAACAACATCTGTCTTATAACAATTAGAAAACAAAATACTGTCAAATCAATCATGCATCGAGTACCCACCATGAGCCCACTATGATCACTGGTGTTCAGCAATATCAACAGATTAAAACTCCAATATACTTATAGTCTTCAGGGGCAAGCAGGGCATATATACACAAAAATAAATTAGAACATCAGTGACACCATATATAACTCAGTGTTAGAGTAACTGTTAGAGACATTAGGTGATCAGAGCAATTCCAAGGAGGAAGACATATCCTATCTCTCAACCTACAGGGCAAGGAACAAATGTTTCATTACTTTTCAACACTGCAGTGCTCACCACTACACACATAACCATGTGCAGTATCCAATACACGGCTCCATGCATAGGAGGCACTCAAACACAGTTAAAGGGGGCAGAGTCTCCTATGAGGAAGAAGCCCAATTTGCTCTGGATTCCTTCACCTTATGCTTCCTGTCTGGTTATTATTTCTCAGTTATTTCAGTCGTACAGTGAGAGGCAGGAAATAAGAACCACCTCAACATAGGCTTTCCTATTGGCACTTCCCCCATCATGCCTTCCAAAAACTTCATAGCCCCTTCTGACTGCCTATGTTGGTTGTTCTCTTGTTTTAAAGAGGAAAATTTAGCACATCTTTTCTACCCCCTTTAGTTTGTATTAGCCTCCAATTGAAAGCTGTTTCTCTTCTATCCTCAATGGTTACAATGAGGGAAGTTGAGTTTTTCATTTGCCTAAAGGTTTCAATAATCAAAATTTGCTTCACATGGCCTAGAATTACCTGGGAGCTTAAAACATTTGCTTTCATTTTCATGTTCTAAAAGGATACAATGATGTTCCAGGGTCCAAGTCGAAGCCAGTTTGGCCAAAATCCTTTATAGAGTGCAAAAAAGCCCTCATGTTTCCACATCTGGGAAAAAGAGACAACCAAAAAATACAGTGAGTTACTCTTTCTCTTCATTTGGCAATCGTTTTTACTTTAGCACTCATCTTCCACTCTCACCCCACCACCACTACCCCTAGCCCTCACCCTAGCAATTTGTAACTCCATGAGTGGTCTTTTTTCTAAACATACACATTTCGAATTCATATGTAGTCTAAATCCATCCACTCATTTGTTCAACAAATATTTACTAGGCACCTATATGCAAGGTACCTTTCCCAATGCTGGAAAGATAATAGTGAATAAGACAGAGAAAGTGTCTGTGGTAGCCAGCCTCCAAGATGGCCCTAGATGATCCCTGTTGTTGTTGTTGTTGTTGTTATGTGCCCTTGAGTCAGACCTGATCCTTACCTCTAGTAATTCATGCCCTTGTGTGGCCCCTTCCACAATATATCAGGATTGTTCTATGTGACCAACAGAGTATGACAGTAGTAAGCATATCCCACTGCCAATGTGAGGGTATAAAAGACATTTTACATATAATAATGCTGCTGGCTTGTTCTCTCTTAGATCACTCACTCTGGGGGAAGTTGTCATGTCATAAGGAGAGGACCACGTGATGAACAGAGGACTCCAGAGAGCAGCCGGTGAGGAACGCAGGGCCTTCTGCTAATAGTCACTTGAGTGAGCTTAGAAGCATATTTCCCAGCTCCCGTCAAGCATTCAGACCGTGGCCCTGGCTGACTTCTGGATTGAAACCTCATGAGAAAGCCCAAGCCAGAGCCACCCAGCTAAGCCACTCCTGAATTCATGATCCACAGAAAATTTGAAATAATAAATGTTTGCTTTACAGTACTGATTCTAGGGTAATTTGTTACATAGCAATAGATGACTCATACAATAACTGCCCTCATAGAGTTTACATTCTAGTGGGGCTGACAAACAATAAATACACAAATAGACATATATTATATCTAGTAATAATTAGTACTAAGAAGAAAACCAAAGCAGAGTAAGGAAACAGTTGGGCAGGTTACTCATTTTCTGAGTCTGTCTCATCACTGTAAATTCTATGCTTGTTTTCTCTTTATATACACCAACTGAATGGTTATGAGAGTTAAATGATAAATTGTGTATATCAAAGGTCATAAACCAGTCATGTGTGCTGAATTCAACCAGTAGAAACAGTCCATATATAACAGACAGATATCTGTTAACTAACTATTACTTTTTAGGCACTTAAAAATGCTATTTTGCCTTTTCACTGGTAAAGCAAAACCTACCACTAGACTAAAAACTGGATCTAGTCAGATAAAAAAATAATATGAAAGATAGGTTTGTTAAATATCCCTTATCCTAAATACTTGTAGGCAGCTCTGGTAGCGTAGTGCCTAAGGCATTTGACTGCTAACCAGAAGGCTGGCAGTTCAAACCCACCAGCCACTCCTTGGAATAAAGGTTGGGCAATCTACTTCTGTAGTGATACTGCCTCGGAAACCCAAGGAGGGGTTGCTATGAGTCAGGTCTGACTCGATGGCATAGAACAACCACAGATACTTGTAAATATCCCTTATTTCATTCCCCAAATTGAGAACACTAGACATAATTATCATTATTCACCACTTCTTTGGACCAAATAGCAGTAAGGGCAATATTTATATATTAAAAAAAATAGTGGTAATATGTTTTCCCCAACGGATCTTCAATAAATGCTGAAGGTCTCAGACCCAACTGTTTTGCAAAAATTATCAACACCAGCCAAAATAAAACCTAGATGTGGAAAACAACATAGAATCATAGACTACAAGAGACTTTATGGATATAATCCAACCCCCCATCTCTCACCTGTACTACCACAATAGCCTCCTAATTAGTCTACAATCTCCATTTAGAAGCCAGACAATCTTTTAAAATCACAATCAACCATTTTTGAATTATCTTCAAAGTATCTTCAAAAATTACTTGCACACTATATTAATGATATTGTTTCATAATTTCCACATTCTGTGGGATCACCTTTCTTTGGAATGGGTACAAATATGGATCTCTTCCAGTTAGTTGGCCATGTAGCTGTCTTCCAAATCTCTTGGCATAGCTGAGTGAGTGCCTCCAGCACAACATCTGTTTGTTGAAACATCTCAGTGGGTATACTGTCAATTTCTGGAGCCTTGTTTTTTGCCACTTCCTTTAGTGCAGCTTCGACTTCTTCCTTCAATATCATTGGTTCTTGATCATGTGCCACCTCCTGAGATGGATGAACATCAACCCATTGTTTTTGGTACCGTGACTCTGTGTATTCCTTCCATCTTCTTTTGATACTTCCTGCATCATTCAATATATTGCCCATAGAATCTTTCAATATTGCAACCCGAGGCTTAAATTTTTTCCTCTAAATAAATAAATTTTTTCCTCAGTTCTTTCGGCTTGAGAAATGCTGAGCGTGTTCTTCCCTTTTGGTTTTCTAACTCCAGGTCTTTGCACATTTCATTATAATAACTGACTTTGTCTTCTTGAGCTGCTCGTTGAAATCTTCTGTTTAACTCTTTTAGCTTGTCATTTCTTCCATTTGCTTTAGCTACTCTCCATTCAAGAGCAAGTTCCACAGTCTCTTCTGACACCAAATGAAACCACTGAGAAAATCATCGAAGATTTGTTGGAAAAGAATTTTCCTGGTATAATGAAAGATGAGAATATATCCATTCAGGAAGTCCAACGAACCCCAAACAGGATACACCCCAAAAGAAAATTACCAAGACATATCATCACCAAACTCACCAAAACTAAAGACAAAGAAATAATCCTGAGAGCAGCACAGGAAAAACAAAAAGTTACCTACAAGGGGTAACCAATAAGACTAAGCTCAGATTTCTTGGCAGAAACCATGCAGGCAAGAAGACAATGGGATGGTATAGATAAAACCCTGAAAGAGAAAAATCTCCAACCAAGAATTTTCTACCCAGAAAAATTGTCCCTCAAATATGATGGTGAAACGAGGACATTTCCAGATAAGTAGAAATTAAGGGAATTTGTTAAAACCAGACCAACCTTACAAGAGATACTAAAGGGAGTCCTTTGGACAGAGAAACAACAATAGCCAACAACAACTGACCATTACCACACATGATAATATAACCCAGAAACCAACCCAGCTATGGAAGTATCCAAAGTAAATAAGCCTACAAGATTGTAAACAAGGAACTAGAGACATAAATTGATAAATGAGGACAACTACAAACCAAAAAGAGGGGAAAAACTCTGTAGTTACAGAACTTCTAGATGGTAAGGAAGTCAAGACAATTATAAGATAGAACGGACTGTTCTAAACTTGGGAAGAAAACTATAAATCACAGGATAACCTCAAAGAAAAATGATAAACCTTCACGTCAAAAAAGAGGACCAGCATAAATATTCACCAAATACTAAAACAATAGCAATGAAGGAAATGATAACACGATTCATAAACAAAATTAGCTCTGCATAGAAAATTATATGGAACAAAGAAATTGACACCATGAAAAAGCACATAACAAAAATGACAGCAACAAATTCATATTTGCCGATATTACATATCTGGCAAGGGACTTATCTCTAAGATTTATATAATGGAAGAGTGGATGACCAAACTATGGTACACACACATAATGGA